TTCCGGTGGCTTTATTAAACTCTTCGAGCGAATCCAACTGTTCCTCCACTCCTTTCTGGCCTTCAATGAGCTGACAGTGAAGAAGTCCTGTTAAGCCCATTATACTCGTCTCATCCATTTTAGTGGCATTCTTGTAGTGTCTTTGGGCGTCAGTCATGCGGTCTAATAAATGAGTTTATTTGCTAATTGTCACAATTGCTTTATTAGTATGTATTACTTAATAACATGCACTGAAATGCATGTTCACAGATGATCACAATGTTTGTCGGGTCCAGAAATACAGCCCTTTCTATCAAATTCATCGAATGGGTCAAAATTTCTTCATTTCTGAATGCCTTACAATTTGTTTATAATTTTCATAATTAGTTTTGCAAACAATACAAAAATATTAATTTTATTTACAATTCTTGCGAACAGTTTTGCGCTCTCGTAGTATAAGTCGGCGTTTTTAGGCTCTCTTATCTCAAAAGATGCGATGAGATCAAGCAATTTAGATGATGCCTAACGTAAACCAGTGTAAAATGATTATCAAAAAATTAGTTGAATATTAATTCAATACTAACGGCCTCTTGGTTATTATCCCAGGCCATACTGTAAACAATTAGATATCTCTGAGCGTCCAAACAGTGTTTATCGATAGCCAGCGCCCGAAACGCTGTGTCCACCACTTGTTCCCAGTCCTTAAGACACGCTTGAAGTTTCATTTTCTCGATGAAAGCGGGCAAAAACCGTGGATACAATACGATGGCCTGATTCAGTTGCTCCACACCACCGATGAATGAACTGTTTTTCTCCAACACCTTAGACTTGCCAATGATTACATCGGGATCGTTGCTATTAAATATGAACATGGGCTCAAATTAGTCAAATGTTTGTATTTTACAATTAGCCCAAAATTATGTAAATTTTAAATCAATACAATTTAGATGAGATGTCAAAGTAATTCATGGCCGAGTGATTCATGGATGTAATGTCCTCATCGCTGCCCGACTGTACCTCAAGCCATCCCTTAAGTATTAATCCCTTTTGTAAAACATATAAAATTCATACAAAAAATTGTAACAATTTATGACTATTTTACGCGTGAATTATATTTACTTCTTTAAAATTAGGCGACATTTTAATCATACGGTCGATGTATTCCTTCGCCTTTTCCAGACGTCCCGACAACAGGAGGAAGAGTCCCGCATAGTATAAACCCTTATAATAAATAGTTTAGCAATTAGTTTAAATAATTTAACCCGTTTATTCAATAATTATTTATTTTACCATTTCATTTGCCTGCTTTCGGTTCTCTCGCAATTTGGCCTCCAATTGAGCCACAGTTTCCTTGTCTTTATTAAAATGGATTTATTATAAATTATGATTTCAATCAATTGAAAGTATAGTATTTTCAACAACAGACCAATCACTTGACATTTTCGGTGCGAAAAAATGAGTGCCAATAGGGATGCGATGAGTAGTTCCCGACTGGACTGGCACTGATCCAATTCCCTGATACTTTCCTGAACTCTACCTAGACATGTATGTTTATACTTAATGTTGTTCACTCAAATTTAATTAAATTTACCCTCAAATGCCAACGAAATACCATAATAGAAACGATATTGTTGTTCACCTGTATATTAACATTAATATTCTGTGTATTATGTAAAAGTTATAATAAGTTATCATTAATAACATACCAGGGTACATCCGGATACCTTCGAGAGCACTCGCAGCCATTGTCCTATACATTCTATTGAGACAGTAGTAATGAATTGTGCCCTTAATTAAAAATAATAAATAAGTTAAAAATAATTATTTATTCTTGTTTATCATATAAAAGTTAGAGAATATCCAAAGCCATACCCGCAGTAGGATCTCATTAGTATTGTCTACTCTTTCAGACATTATTTCTATCATTTATTGTATTTTGACATTAATTTGATTTAAAAACTTGTGTTTTTTTGGAAAATATTAAATAAAATGTGTAAAATATTTAAGAAGTCTTCAATTTTAATATGGATTATTTTGCCAGCAAAACACAACAAAGTGACCATGGCAACAGTTCATCATTTCAATGAATGTAACAGTTTAGAAGAGCACTTTTGAACTTAATTATTATTATTAAGATAAATGTTAATAAATTATTAATAATATTGTGATTTAAATGCATGACTTTTTGGTAAATTCGTTGACATTTTATCTGCCCGTAAGAAACAATCAGATTTTTTGGTCATTTTTCGATGTTTGTTAAAACAGTATTAAAAAAGCTGCCGTCAAAGGCTATAGAATCTAAATGATCACTATAAAATAACTTTCAGACAGGATACAATAGGGCAGGATTTACTATGGAAAACATAATAATCTGTGAGTCAATACTATACAAAACGCGATATCAAACTTTAATACAGTCAATGCTTTAATATGATGTTTTCCATAGTAAATCCTGCCCTAATATATCCTGCCACTAGTGTAAAACAAAACTATTATTTCAGACTTATAAACTATTAAATAAATTTATAATTTGTAAATTATTTATATTTTAATTTAATTTAATTAATTTATATATGACTATTAAAACGCTAACGATGCGAGGGTAGCTAAAACAAATAACAACTAGGGTAAATGATAATCAACACTTCACTGAATATACCATGTAAATGTAAAAAAGTAATTATATTAAATAAGGACATTTCAATTACTTATTTTTAAATTATTATTATAACAAAAGCTTCTATTTTAATGCAAAACATTAAAATTAATATTAAATTTCTTTACACTGTATTCACGGAAACACATTTGTATTATGAAAAGTAAAACTATAAATCATATATTATTTTATTCCTACATAAGAGATATACATAATATTGATTATCAATAAAATAATTTGCAAAACATTTCAAATCAAATATTTAGCACTTTAGCGACACAAACAACAAACATATCCATATATAGGAAACACATACAAAAGGATATACTCTTTGAATAAAATCTATATCAAGAATATTCTGCCAAAAAAGATGGGAACTCTTTACTCAATACTTAGTGAGACTCTATGGCCACCGCTGACCGAAAGTCAGTTGTTATTCAATACAATCCGAGACAATGAGTTCGCAAAACTTGAAGATATGATCAGAAACGGTGCGGACGTCACCGTCACTAACGACGAGGGACTCACTCTTTTGCATTACGCGGCAGAACTCGGACGACAACAATGTGTTCAGACATTACTCTTCTATAACTGCATTGATATCAACGCCAGAGATGTAGCCGAGACACCGATGGGTCGGCTCCAGACAACTGCACTCCATTCGGCCGCTGCCGAGGGCTGGCCTCAGCTCGTGGTCTATCTGATAGAGAGCGGCGCCGATATAAACGCCGTGACAATCACCGGTTGGACACCAATGCAGTATCTGATGATCACCGACAACATGACGCCCGGAAAATTGGAGTCACTGGCGGTGTTGATAGGTATGGGCGCCGACGTGAACCGTCGCGACACCGACGGCAACCACGCTCTGGATATTGCCGTACTGTACGGTCATTTCGAGGCCACGCGTCTACTGTTGAACAGTGGTATCGCCGCCGATGCCATCGAACCAATTGATCCCAATTGCCTCAAGAATGGCAAAGTGTTTGATTGCGTGGAGTTGTGTGTGAGAGCCGGCAGTTATCGTGTGATCGAGAAATACGATTTCGTTAAATATCTGATAGAAAGCTCGCAAACCGACGACAAGGATAAGGAGGAACTGCTGGACAGAATCGAGTCACTACTCTCCATGAAGATCAATGTCCAGAGTTTGAAACATTTGTGTCGTCTTTCTGTGCGTAAACTCTATGTTAATCATAACCTGAATAATATCATTGATAAACTATCACTTCCGCACTCTCTTCGATGGTATCTATTATTGATTGACTCTTAAACTCAATCACAACTCTCTTCATCTCAAATAATCTCAACTCAATTATCTTTTTAAAGCCTGTATTCACACAATGTTTAATTGTTTGCCAAATAATTAAAACCATATCTGAATTGTACAAGAATTGCAATTAAAGTAACCTCAATATACTATATATAAATTACAATCTCAATGTTAATATGTGTTAGCCAAATAAAAAATTGTGCAAACTAAGAATTAATTCATCAAGCTCAATATAGTTAGATCCAAATGTTTTTAGTAGGAATATTAGAGAAAAATTACAAATTGGTCAATTAATGTGTCAAATTAGATGTAGGAAATTGTATAAAGTTTTAGTAAAGTAGGCAAATAAAATTTTATTGTAAAACTATTGATTGAAAAATTGAATGCTGGTGGAAATGGGAATAATTGACCATGGGTTGTGTGGCGGGATTTAATCCATATCACAAATGGACTATTCATATGTAGAAACAAATGCACGGCTTATGGTAACAGTAGTTATAAAAGGGACCGAATATACAGACTCTTTGTTAAATGCGATAAATATTAAAATTAATTAAAATAAATATAAAATAAACACAATTTAGGGATAGAAATGATTGGAGAGAGCGTTGAAGAGATGGACAACACTTAAAGCGGGGGTTAAATGAATAGACGGCTAATGTATTGAACGGGTAATGAATGTTTGATTTGAGTGCAGAAGTGGTCGTAATTGCTGTACAGGAGTGCAGAGACGGGCGCTTCGATCGCATCCATAATAAGCCATACGTTGAGTGCATTGACAGACAAGAAGTGGTGTAAAGACTGAGCGAATGATTGAGTGCTTTGAGTGGAGGAAACCATTCAAACAATAGACACAAAACGTATTGACACCAACAAACATGTCGGACGTGGAGGACGGCGACGACGACTCAACTCAAGACTCACCGCCACCCGAGACAACCGGTGGCTCATCCACGCAGCGATCGGTTCCGCCGCTGAAGATCAAACTGCCGGTCACTGCCGGCCGTGAGTTACGGCCCAAACGTAATGTGAAGCCCAAGTCGTCCGTAGAGGAAGAGCTGAGCGGCGACGACGACAAAGACGACGACTTCGTGAGCCGCGCCACCACTTCCAGAGCGAGTCGCGCCACAGCCAGACAGTCGACGCGACGCTCGGAACCGGTGGTGTCGTCGGCCTCGGCGTCGGACGACCCGCCCTCCAGACGCTCGGAACGCATATTCCTGTCGGCGTCGAAGAAGCATACGGTCGACAAAGACTCGGATGACGACACGCAGGACGCCGACGACGACACGCCCGCAGCCATTGTCCACAAAGAGCACTGCGCGGAGTGTAAACAGGGCGGAGAACTCGTGCTCTGCGACTACTGTCCGCGCGCTTACCATAAGGTGTGTGTCGACG